GCAGGAGAGAAACCGTCCTCCCGGATCCAGTGGCTAACTCAAACGTAGATCCGTTGGGACTACTCCTTCCAGGTGCACTCTTGACTGCCATCTTCATTATCGCAGTGATGCGTCTAAATCTCTCAAAAAGATCCTCGCTATGATCTTGTGGCTCATGCGGCCGCGGCATTTGTGATGAGAGTTGGTCCCGGAAATACTCGAATGACTTGGAGATCTGTAATTCTATAGGATCCCAGCCAGGCATCGGCGAGGTATGAAGCGCGAGTTTGGCTAGAGTTGTCAAGCTAGCGACAAGAGTGAGCCAGTCGGTGATGGAGAGCAACTCATACTGGCTACTGGAAAGCTGAAGGCTGTTGTCTAGGAATTGTTCCACGTATCGGAGACATGCGATGCGTTGCGATAATTGAAATCCTGAAGCCCACGGCATGCTATCTCGGTCAGGGATATCGAGTGATGCTGCGGCTTTATAGAGAGATATCCGAGCTCCCAACTGAATCCAACGAAGAGTTTCTCGAGAGACATTAGCTTGTTATGTAGTACAAAATAGACGTACTCACTATAATCGCTGGCCTGCGCTTTTGACGCAAGTCGCATATTGTCCCACTTCTCACTAAGACGCTTTAATTGAGCCTTGGCAACCAGCGCTGGCTCGGATTGACTGCGAAATGTCTCCTCCACATCCTCCATGAACTGGCAAGTATCGATGAGAATCGGTACAATAGCGTCAGAACGATGTTCCCAGATGGCTGCAATATCCGTCGCATACATGCGCAAAGTACTCGAATGTGGCATACTTCGGATCCTGCCAGAATCCAATAAACTCAGACACGACGCGAGATAATAGCATCCCAGATATGCTCTTTTCGCCTCTCTATCACGAGCATCATCCTTCTGCATCGGACTTCTCGCAGGAGATGGGATATTGTCGAGACCAAGATCTCCCGCAATACCGATGCACATTTGCAGGAGCAAATGAACTGAAGCAGCATGAGGATCCATGTAGTGGTGATGCCACGCGATGAAAACTAGCAGTCCTTGTAATAGATCCAAACTCTTTTCTCCGTTCATGATCTTCACCATGACTACCTTGCGGAACTCTCTGCTTAATGAGGCCTGGAGCTGAGTGGAGTCGTATGATGCCGCTGTGAGAACGGCAAAGAGAAAAATCGGCTTCTGTTGGATCAAGTCCTTGCAAAAGTACTCTTTGGGTAACGTGACGAATGGAAAGAAATCAGCCATCGTCCGGTAACCTTCTAATAACATTTGCATATGAATGATACTGATCGACCGAATGAGAGGATCGAGATGTCCTAGTCCAGATATCGTGTCATTGATGGATTCCCAGAAGGACATGGCAGATTCTGGAGTGGAGCCAGGGTTGGGGAGAATCGGTGTTTTCACCATTGGCGGTGGGGGTGCCGATGGTAAGATAGGTGCCGGTGTAGAGGTGCGTCGTGATGGTTCTGTGGGTTGCGAAGGGATAGTGGCTACAGGTGGTAGAGTAGGTTGTGGTGTAGAGCTGGGAATGTTTGGTGCAGTCGTGGCAGTGACAATGGCTGATAATTTGTCCAGTTTCTTTTCCATTTCAGCCACTCTGTTTGGTGGTTGGATAACAGCCCTTGGTTTTGCTGGTCTTCGTCGAGCAACATGTTCTATACACTCGACCCGAGCCTTCTGACATCTGTAGCATGTGTTAAGCCGAACCTATGTATGATGACAGTGTAACGTACCTTTGACATATACCTGCCGCTTCGGATGGTACGCATCTTACTTTGTGCTTTCGACACCGCTCGCAGGCAAACGCATTCCCTATCCTTCCCTCTCTGGCCTCCATGGTGATGATGGAGTGGGAAGGCGTGGAATCGTTCGCCGCGGGCTGGTGGGGAAGTCCGATCATGCCAAGACGGCGTCAGATTTATGAGAGGCGACGCGTGACGAGTGGCCAGCAACGACCAGAGGCGCGTAGGGGTATCGAACTAGCACAGAAAGATCCTGACCGACTTGGACTATCGCATGCCGTGTCAGAAAACTGCATGCGACAACAAGATCTTGGATGGAATCCCGATACCCGAGGTCGGGTGAAATATGTTCCGAAAGTAACTGTAGTCGGATGTATGTTTCCGCCCGAAAAGCGGCTAGCGTAGCAGGGCGCCGATGTCACCTTTTACACAGAGGTCCGGCAGATGAGGCACCGGCCGCCGATATATAGTCGGTGGTCTTGGATGAGCGCTATAATATGGGGTGGGCCGGAGCTGCAAGACAGTGGACGATCGTGGCTGACCTGCTCTGATGATCAATGGCGGAGATGCCCGACAGGGCAGTGTCGTTCAGAGTGCGGTAGGGGTGTGCGATCCGGTTTGTGCGGAAAGGGTCAGATGCAGCAGGAGACAGCACTGTTTCTTTATCGACACTGCGCCGCGCACTGACAGAGCAGCTCGCCGGTAGAACGCCGTTAATCCCCGCTTTCCGGGGGTGCGCCGCTGACCACTGATCGGACATTATGTGCTGCCGCGGTCGGTGGCAGCCGCGAGCGAAGTCGCGCGGAGATGGTTCGACCGTGGTACATGGCAGCAGGCCAAAAGGCGGATCCTGTGATGGCACTCATTGAGCGGTAGCACGTAGACGCAAACACAGGCAGGCCTGCCGTGAACCGATGGGATGGCACACCGTCTCTCGCAAGCGACTAGCGGTCTCCGAACAGCTCTGCGATTGCCTCCGATCCCAGGCTTGGGCACAGATGCCAGCATGTCGCGATTTGGACGTACGCGGGTTTGGCGCGCCGCGGATCATTTCGTCGGGGTTTGACGGGCCAATGGCGATCGGCACGGAGCGGCATGGCTATGGCTATGACAAAAGACGATGAGCATCACACTGGAGCGATGAGAAAGGACAAACGTCGAGAGAGCGAGAGAGCGCGGAGAGCAAAGGTTAAGAGGCAAACGGTGCAGGTGTTGGTGTTGGGTGGAGTCATGATCGGCGGGTCGTTGCTGCCGAACCACGCAGGCACGGCAGGGGTGGCTTTTTCCTGGGTGGGATGACGCGCCCAACAGTGAACAGTCCCACGATCATCCCGATGGTGCTGCATGAACTGCTCGCGAACTGGGCATCTGGCGCACACAGTTGAAAGCTTCTATTCTCATTATGCCATAATTTGATTCCTATCCGTAGTTAGGGCACCTGTGACCTGCTCCTATCCTCCCATACCATACAGCGGGGAAAACGAAGCCAAGATAGCGTACTGTCCTACAAGCTCTGCACAAGCTCTGCATAGCTAGCGTTCATCAGTATCTCAGCTGCCGTGCGTTGCGGGAGCCAATATGTACGTGTCTGAACACCCAGGTCGTCTATCTTCTCCATAAAGTCAGGTGCCATGACCACTCTGCGTGAGGTGCATGCGCTTATTGTGTCACAACAGGTAGTGTGCTTATCACCATCTTTCACCGCGTACCATTCGACCATAGAGCACGAGCACCAAGGTGATACACGCTAATGGGCGATCGCTCCATAGGGACCAATGTTTAAGACGACATCCGAGACCACCCCTTAGCCACCTTTGCTTTGGGTTTCTTTGTAGCCAGATGATGCTCAATAACTTCAAAAAACCTTTCAAGTACAGGCTCGTTTAAGACGACTAGTGAAGAGAGATAGTTGAATTGCTTCGCAGCTCCAACAAACTCCTGAAGACAACGTCAAGAATAGACTTAAGAATATGGCTAGCTGCGGATACAATGTCTTCAGATAGTCGGATACATGTCCCAGGCACTGATTCGCAAAAAAAGGTACTTGTCACTAGCAGAGTCGTAAAATTGACAATTATATACATCGTTGCAATGATCTGGTATATCAGAGCGACGGCCAAAGAGGAGGGAGCAACGGAACATTACGTTGACGTGACTATGGAATTGCTATGCGATTTTGCATGAATAGTACACTGGGGGTGATTACTATTCCGAAGACAATCACAGTCTAGCTTTGTATCACAAGAATGCTAAGAGTAGCACTTCACGGCCCCTGTAGACGCCGTGATCACTGTCGTGTCAAAGGTCTCGATGAAACGCGACACATGCTTACACACTTCCCCGGGTTCAGGGGCTTACGATACTTTATGTGCTCTACCATAAAGTTAGTAATCCTACCATAGACTTGCTCTAAAGATAAACTATAATTTAATACTCCCAAATCAATCCAGCTATTGCACTTGACTACGGGCACCATCGTACAGAGTGTTCGAAACATAATGAATGATTTTGACGAAAACAATCTCGCCAGAATAGACGAATCAAATCTCGAGAAGACCTTGGCGCAAGTTATGCTTGCGCCCAGTGTATCATTCAAATGAGTCCGCATTGGAGAGACTTCGAGTTAGGAGCACATGTAGCCTTCAAAAAGTTACATATATACCCTTCGAGGTAGCCGAAACAACCAAAGATAGTCCTGATATAATGACCGAGTATCTCCTAATAGACCTCGAGAAATTAATGAAATTTACCATCGAGGAATATGCCAACAAATCTGGAAGTAGTTGGCCTTTCGTTCTACAATGAGGACGGCAGAACGGTCGAAATTTGGCGTCCAGGAGGACAATACATCTAGTGTCCTACGATGGAGGCTTGGCTTTGATTCGTGAGGAGATCAATTGGTTAGCTACTGACACCTGGACACATATCGAGGCAGCTGCATTATAGCTAGATTGCTGAAATTGTGGAGCTTGAATCTAGAGAGATATTAGCCATTGTCAAGACTTGGGGGTGGGCCGTAGAGGGGCTCGTTCGAGGATTGAGCAAGACATGACTCGCTAGTTCCCGCACTGTTTGCAGGGTAAATTTAGCAACGGTCACCGCAACTGAAGATTTTTACTTTACTCACGAATAGAGTTCCCTCCTCATTTTCATTGAAACTGAAAGTATTCGGTCAACATATTGTGAATATCGTCCTCTTCATCCACGACAACACATTGCTATATATCTAATCCACAACGTTGGTCGTCATCCAGCCAATCAGGTCTTATGGTCTAGAGGTATGATTCTCGCTTAGGGAGCACCTGAGCAAACTTGCGAGAGGCCCCGCGTTCGAATCGCGGTAAGACCCCGTAGAGGGTGCTGTGCACTTGTTATTTACCCCTTTTTTTTTGGACCTATATCTTCTCCGAGGACGAGGTAGTTTTACTACTGCTTCGATAGAAAGAAACCAATATGTTTAGACATGATTGGTGTGAAGAATCGATGAGAGATTGAATTTGGCGCTCATGGCTGGAAAGCGGTAGGCTGGAGCTACCATGAGTGCGAATCCCTATTCCCAAAACTCAGGCACGCAATCATTTCCAATTCGAATTTTTGCATCTTTCTCACGAAATAATTCTACGCGAACCCTAGGTAGAGGATGTTTTACCATAAAGTGAGTTTAGTTGTGACAATATGCCAGGTACGGAACCTCTTCTGCGTCGAATGACTACTAAGTGAGATCGTTGCAAGATTGGACTTAAATAAGTAGGTAGTCGTACGTACACTAATGCTTTCAAGGCGGTTGCGCATCTCCAATTGTCTGTCAAAAATAATTACTGTGGTATACAAGGCTTGTACAACATGGTGTGGGCTCTTTCCCGCCTTCGCGTGCCCCACTCCATCACCCCCCACACGTTCCTACATGGACAGCGTGACTGCACCCCAATAACGCATGCATCTGCAGCCGGGTCCCAGAACCAACCACATCGTACATCAAACGCCTTCAATATTCTAAACGAGATAACACTGCTTATCATGGTCGCCTTCTTAAAGCGGCAACGCTTACCAAGTATAAAGATTCAGCCGCAGCTGTACTGTCATTGTGATCCAGTTCCTAAGCTCAAATTATTGCGGCATTTACGGGGCAATACATCCGTCACGACGCTCAAGTCGAATACAGCTGTTTGCTTACCATTTCGTTACTATGGCATTGACAGCCTCTGATAGAGATTTTCAGCCGATCTCAAAAAAATCAACCGATTCCTTCGGTAGCTTTACGTTAAAAATTTACTCTCAGATTACTGACACACCAGATGAAAGTCTATATCTGGTTGTATTGCGTGTAACAACTCCCATCCTCGAGCTACGTATGGACATCGCTCCTCCTGAAGATGTGATAGAGAAGGTAGAGATTGACAACGCGGCTGTGTTCTTTACAACATCATCTCCACTATATGGAGCTGATGTGGTATATCAAACAATTTCCAAGCAAGAGGAGGAAGAGTATGGCATTAAACAATCTATACTGCCTAGCGGCGTCCAATGGATTACAAAAGGAATATCAAGACAATCTGCCTTTGCCATACTACTACGTCCACGATTTGATGTATCCAAGAAGTCAATTACTATTCGTACCCTTGCATCTCTTGATACAGCATCCGGGAGTTACACCTCTAAAATTCAACACCCTCATCCACATAGGAAGTTCAAAGGGACCATCCAAGATTTACTTCTCGGCTTCCAGTCGCCAATATCAGTTGCAATTTGGACAGCAGCGCATGGATGGTCCGATGTCCTGCAACAATTGCTTTCGAAGTCCATAGCCGGTGCAGATGACGTTGATAGTTCCGGAAGAACAGCATTATCCTGGGCTGCGGGAAACGGGCAAGTCGAGACTGCTAAGATTTTGTTGGGGAGTGCCAATATCAATAAGTATGATAATGAGAAAAGAACACCGCTGCTGTGGGCTGCGAGGCGCGGTCAGCTAGATATGGTTGCATTGCTGCTAGATGAAGGGGCAGCTTGGACAAAAGATTATAATCATTACTCGGCACTTGGATGGGCTGCTAGATCAGGTCAATCAACCGTCGTAGAGTACCTCCTAGCAAGGCCCCATATCCAAGCGGACGTAAAAGGCGAGCTAGTGCGGCCCTCGTACCCTCCGGTCCTCGAGAACCCAAGCAGAACTTTAGAGGGCTGTCCGATATCTATCGCATCGGAGAAGAGCCACGTGGAGACTTTACTTGTTCTTGTTAAGAAGGCCTTCGAGCTTTTGGATGAGTCAAATATCATGGGATTGTCGTCGAAGTTTCTCGAGTATTGGCTCAACAAAGCTGCTGCAGAAGGCTGGGTCAATCTTTTGACCATATTGATGGAAAGCGACCGGGTTTATAATCCGGAAGTCGAATATAGTATTCCTCTCTGCATTGCGGCAAGGCAGGGCTGGACAAGAATAGTGGAAATACTGCTGAGAGCAGGTGCAGACAGAGACTCAACGCATGAAGGCAATACAGCACTATGTATTAGCATCAAAGAGGGGCACGAGGCTGTTGTAAAAGCGCTACTTGATCTTGGAGCTGATACAAGAAAACCAAATATTGATGGCTCTACTCCATTTAAACTTGTCGGCGAACTAGCTGACAAACTAGCGGACGAGCTAGCCGACAAGGCACATACCATCTTGGGAATGTTGACCAAAGCAAATGAGGAGGGAAGACTTGCCGAAAAACTAAAGGAAGTCGAAGAAAAGATCGCTTGCAGTTTCATTGCAACAGTTGTTCTGTTTGAAGACACGGTAGCTGGTCTGAATCGTCTTGTCGTACAGAAATCAGTTAAGGAGCTGTTAAGTGATCCCACCTTTCCAAAGGCGGTCACTGAAAGAGAACAATTCCGATGGCTTCACCTTCCAGCGAACAATATGCTGTGGGTTGAAGTTCTGATGCTAAAGCTGTATGAACAGCCTGCGAAAGCCTATCAAATTTTGACACCAGAGCGGTGGGTGCGTCGACAGCATCGTGGAGCAACTGGAAAGCCACACGCAAGGTTCATGCGCCCGCATTGTCAATATTTCGGAAATGAAGCGACAACGTCATTGTATGACGGTACGAAGGGGCCAAGGAAGCTGGTATCATCTCCTAATCTAGTATTGTTCATCCCTTTCCTCCACTGGGATGCCAATTCCATGAGATTGGAGCGTCAGCGCGCCTTAGAAACAAAGGAAAGCGCATTGGGAACATCGAAGGAACTAGCTGAAACAGAGCTGGTGGGTACGTACTCTAATGACACCCCTCACTCGCTACACATTCGGCGCACGCTTGACCAGTACTATTACCACACATTGCAAAGCACAGAGAGTCGGGATGATTCCCAGGTTGCGACCCGCTATCAAGAAAGCAAAGGTCTTCCATCAAGCATCATTAGTATGGTAGATCAACTTTGGCTATGGGTAATACGAGGAACCGAAGGAAAGCCAGACATCGTCATCTCTTGCTTTCCAAGGGTGGCAGAATTGGAAAAGAGTACCCATCCAGATCCCTATAGGCGTACCGACGTGCTCGAAAATATTAAGAGACATTTGATTGATGACCCAGGATCTGTTCACAACGCCGATGATCTTGCTGGTCTTATTGCGGCCAAGTGCTCGCGCACTTATTTAGATCCAGCGAGCACACTTGATCTCAGTAAGGACCATAAGGGTGTGCAATTCTCGGACATGTATGAGGACGCCATTGGAAATATAGTATGTCACTCCCAATGCTGGTCGCAAATCCAGTAAATCATTTTATGCACAGATGACCACCTTATAGTATAGCTTTCAGTCAAATACCCGGAGAAAGTCTTCGCAAATTATGTTCTATATGGCATAACACAGGCTACAATGCATCTCCAGTCTTTTGACTCAATACTATATTTGAAGGTGGCACACTGTACATTAAATAAGAATTGGGTCTCGTAGCTCTGTACAAATACTAACGAACTTTCAGATGCATAAGGAAGCTACTGCTTTCAAGAATTTCCAAGATTTATCTAAAGCTCCGGAAGGTAGGATCATACTAGCAGATATCAAAGACGAGATTTCCTGGCTTGCTGAAATCAAGGACGTGCTCGATGAGCTAAACATCAAAGCATTTATATTCGAAGCCCAAAAGAAGGAGTTCCGATATCTGGACAGTATCATTCGATCGAGCGATATGAAGTATAATCAACGGAGCGGCTTTATCAATGAGGTCTCTGGGAATACGCTTCAGTTTGTAGACACCAGAAATCACGGCACCCTCAATTTGCTCGGGAACGGTGAAGGTGATAGCATCGACTTCGTTGATTTTAAGAACCATGGCGCCCTCAACCTGATCCGTGGTGAGGTAGGCAATAGGGTACACTTTCTAAATTTCCGGAATCACGACGAAGTCAATATATCTAAAGGTAGTGAGGACGTGAGCGACTCTGAAGAGAGAGACCCCCGGAAAATTTCCCTGTCTACGGGGGAGAATAGACACAAGAGAGTGATTCGAGAGAACAATCAAGATGCTAGACCACGCACAATCTGGGCGCAGCACGGCGACGGGTTATTATTAAACCATGTGAATCTCAGCATTGAGGAGATCAGAGGGATGAGAGAGCGTGCGACTAGAGCGTACAATTCAGTAAGTACTAGAGCCAGTCTAGAGAAAATATGCTCATTCTGACGAAAATCATAGGTCAACTTTCTTATCGACTTGAAACTCAAGCACAACAACGTCATTGACTCGAACAAAGCATTGGAACTAAGTTCAAAAACAGCCAGTCTAACTAAGAGTATCAACGAATCTACTGCGCAAACCAAGAATTCGGTAGAAACAACAGAGGCCTTAGCCAAGAAGGCTGACAAAGAAGGAAGCACTATAATGGTCTTCACTGTTGTAACTATTATCTTCGTAAGTATGTAACCTAATAATGTTGGAGACTTCTAATCATGCAGCGTAGCTCCCGCTATCCTTTATGACTACGATGTTTCAGCTCGACATCCGCCAGTACAAGAGGGTGGATGATAAACTCGATCTTGGCTATGTTTCCGCCATCATATGTAGGCTTCTACTGTCTGTGGTGATGCATAGCCTTTCCGCTCATCAAATTACAGTCCCAATATCAACTGTCATATCGGCTCTACTTATTTGGGTTGCATTTAAGGCCGCCTTCGTCGAAAGGAAATTGTCCCAAGTGTTTAAACGAAGGAAGAACTCGTCTGAAATAATAGCTACGGGAGATGAGGAAGCGCAAAAGTGATCATGTTGATCTGTACCAAGGCATATAGCAGGGTATCACCAACCAACAACCACGTAGGTCTTTGTAGCCAAGCACGAGATTGCTGATGACTGTAATTCTCGCCTG